TGTCCAGCTCAGCCCACCAGGGGGCGGGGCTGGCTGGCATGTAGTGTGGGGGATTGAATCGCAGTCCCTGTGCTTTGCCAAGCTTATTCCAAGTAGGTGCTTTAGACCACTGAGCCATCTCACCAGCCCTCCATGAAGGTCTTGATCAGTTTGTTCTTAAATGCTTCCTAGTATTTGTTGCTAGCACCGCACCATATTTTCCTCTTACATTACAGGCATAAAGAAAACACTTTTTACAAAGTTGATCCTGACCAGAGATACAGGGGAGTGGCACAGCCCCTGCCTGGCAAGCATGAGATCCTGAGTTAGATTCCTGGTCCTCCCCCCAAAATCGTTGATCCTTTACCTATTAACTTTGCTAAACTGTAATTACTTTTTTTTTTTTTTTTTTTTTTTTTCCTTTTTGAGACAAGGTTCTCACCATGCAGTTCAGGCTGGCCTTGAGCTCACTTTGTAGCCCAGGCTGGTCTCAAACTTGAAATGATTCTCCAGCCCCGACCTTCCAAGTGCTGGGATTACAGGCACACCCGGCTTAACTGTAATTACTTTTAATAACATGCTGATTCTTTTTTTTTTTATTATTAGTCTTTTTTTGAGAAGGATTTTTTTGGCTAGCTCAAGCTGCCTCAAGGGTGGGTCTGGTGCAGTATGCGTGCTCAGGATCAAGCTACAGTCCCTTGCCCCTGACTGATTTTGCCCAAGCAGGCGCTGAGCTAACCCGCCAGCCCCCAACATGCTGATTCTTACGTGAATTAATTTGTGATACAATATGAATGTTTATACCATATATAATAATGTTTTGTTTCTTTCCTTCTGGTGTTTACTACTGTTTTTCTTCTTCTTTCCTTCTCCTCTCTTCCTCCTCCTCTTTCAGTCTCCGTCTCTGAAGGCCAGTGGGTCTCTTTCTGACCTCAGACACAATGTTCCTGTCCCACCCCGTGATGGCACAGAAGATCATGTTACCGCTTCCTTTCTGTCCTCTCAGTGCTTACCGTCATTGATCCCTCTGCAGTCTTAAATACTGCTGTCCCTGGCTCCCTCCACCTCCCTAAGGATGAGGTCTCACTAGATTTTCTGCTCGCTTTTCTGCCTCTTGCTTTCTCCTTGTGGCCTAGCTCCCTGCACTGGAGCGCTCTCCAGGATGACCTCATCCCTCCCATGGCTTCAAGGCGCTGGGACTGTGCCGCTCACCCCACGTGGCTCCTCAGGTCCACAACTGGGCTTGCATTACCCACCCCAAGTCGGCCTGGTTTGCCCAGCTTCATTGGTGGGCTCCTTGCCTTCTGTGGCTGTAGGCTGGGAACCTAGGTGTCCTCCCTCACTCTTGCTGTCCCCTCTGTCCAAAGCCTGCGTAGCTCTCCTGCTCCACCTGAGTCCACACCTTCAGTCTGCCCCTGCCTCACTCAGGCTCCCGGCCCACAGTGCTTTAAGCTACTGTTCTTCCTGGATTTCAGGGGGGTCCTCCAATTGATCTTGATGCTTCTAGCTCAGGCCTCTCTTCCCAGTGCATCTGTCCTCCACACACGGGTGAGTGGTGGAGAGTGGTGGTCCTGAAATGCACTTCTAAACGTGTGTCCTCATCCATGTGAGCTGCTAGAACGAGGTGCCACGCTCCAGGCGGCTTCCACCACACACATTTATTTCTTCAATCTCCTGGAGGTGGAATGTGCAAGACCAAAGCCGCAGCAGGACTGACGGGCGGTCTGGCTCGCAGACACCCTCTTCTTATTGTGTTTTCAGAGGCGCGAGGGAGAGGCGGGAGCCCTCTGGGGCTGTGTTTCTAAGGCTGCTAAACTCAATCAAGGGGGCTGTGCCCTTGGCCCCGGCGTCCCAGCGCGCCTGCTCCGCTGCCAAAGGCCCCACCTCCTGAGCCGCACCACTGCGCTGGGATTTCCCCCTGGGGACGGGCCGGGGGCACAAGCAGTCCCCTCCCTCCTCCGTGGCCTCCCGTCGGGCTCTGCTCGGGCCCTTTAATGAATGCCTGGGATCTGCCAGAGTCCAAAATCCTTCGGGTGGCCCCATTGTTGTGCGGCCCTCGCCTTGCCCCGTTACTGGCCTCTGACCTCTCTCCCTGCTCCGTTAGGCAGCTCTTTCTTCCATTTCCTGCGGCAGGGCGCAGCCGTCCCCTCCTCGCAGCCCTCTCCTCTCCCCAGGGGCCTGAGTGCGCGAGCCACGCCAGCTGTTCGCCTGGTTCAGGTTTCAGGTTGCTCTCGGAAGGCGCTTCTTCCAGGAAGGCTTCCTACCTGGTTCAGGCCACCGTTAGAGCTCCATTGGTCTCAGGCCGCACCCTTTCCAGGCCTCTTGTGTCCTGCCTACTTTAAGTTCTGTTTGGACAAGGTCTTCAGTACCTAGCAGAGTCCTTGGCAGGACAGAAATGTTCAATACATCCACAGGATGAAAGTAAAATAGCGTTTCTCTGAGAAAGTGTTACGTTGATGAAGTGTTAGGTTAAGCGTTTGTTTTTTGTTTTTTTTTTAATTAATTAATTTATTTATTTATATGTGTGTGTGTGCGGCCAGCTCAGCCCACCAGGGGGCGGGGCTGGCTGGCATGTGGTGCTGGGGGATTGAACCGCTGTCCCTGTGCTTTGCTAAGCTTG